CGCCTGCCGGGCTCGGGGGCGGGGCGCGGGTTCCCGGGGCAGAGCACGGTCGCCGCCCTCACCTGCGCCGGCCGCGAGCGAGGCCACCTCGTAATGGACTCTGTGGTTTTTTTGCAGGCACCGACCGTCACGAGCTCACTTCCTGGAAGAGCTTCCCGTCTATTTTCAAATTCTTTACCGAAGCCTCTGAGGCAAAGACCAGCTCCCTCAAGCCGGCTCTGACGCGGCGCTCCCACCGAATAAAGCACGACGAGCTGTAAGAGGAGCGCGAGCCGGGGAGGGGCGGCCAGGACCCGCGCGAGCCGGAGCCGCCCGCCTGCGAACCGCTCGGCTCCCAGCCCCTCATTAGATTGTTTTCCTCCTAGAGCACAGGGTCGTGATATATACATCTAAATAGCGTTTTGCATTATTTCTAGATGAGTGCAACTGTCAAAGCAATATGGGTTCACTGGCCGTGCTTCCTGCGGGCTGAGCCCGGCTTCGCGCTGCCCGTCAGCGCGCAGATTAAGGCTGACAGCGCCCTGCCCCGCGCGGCCGGCGCGGCTCTAATTGCCCTGACGGAGCCCGCGCCCGCTGCGGACGAGCGGCGTCTGCGCGGTCCTACCTCCCGCCGCCGCTACCGCCCGCCGCAGCCCTGCGCCGCCGCTCCCCTCCTCCCGCGGGTCCGTTTCTCCCCTCCGTGCAGGAGCGATTTTTATTCTCGACTTCAAACTTCTTTTTAAGTAGGATTTTTCCCGAGAGCGCCTTTTGCCTCCCTCTGTCTTTCTCTTTCTTTTTTTAGGAAGTCCCCTCCCCACCATTCCCCCACCCCACGCCAAAAACAAAAAAAAATGTAAATTCAGAACATGAATGCCATGGTGTGCTGTGTAGTTTTGGGAGTGCAAATTGTTCCCTCTATAACAATCTATTTTCATTCCAAGACCAGAGAAAAACTTCACCCAAAAAATCTGTAAAGTACTGAATCTGCATTACTGCTGAAAATCCTTGTCTGTTGAATGTGAGATTTTACACAAATCTTTCATTTCAGAAGAGACTTTTTAAACCAAAAGAAGAGGAACAGATCTTTTAAGCATAGGTGTGAAAGGTCTCATTTTCAATGGAATTGCCAACTTGTTCAGTAGAATTGACCTTACTTTTTAAACTATGTAGTGTGTGTTGAGTGACATCTTCATAAGGTAACAAACTTTTGTTTTTTAAATCTTACCGTAGGGAAGCCTCTTGTTAGCTTTCCTGGAGCTAGGCCCTTTTAGGGATAGTAATTTTTTTATTGTCCTCAGGAAAATGAACCTGTGTACACCAACCTTTTCCCTCTGAAAGGCTAAATGGAGCTAAAATTAATCTTTTAGTTTTGTGTTCCAATGGGAAGAGAGAGACTTGGTATGAAAGATTTTCTTCTCTCAGTCCAATGGTGTAACTCACTTCTGTAAGGTTTTGCCCTACAGTTTCAACAATTACATGTTTTAATCCAGCTAAGATCTGGCCAACACTGTGAAATACAAGAGAGAAGGTTTTGCTGACTTTTGAATTAAAATATTAAATTTTAGCATTATCAATTTTTAATTACTTGAATTTAATTACCGAGTGAAGATTGTTTCTAGTAGATGAGGATCTGAATTTAATATTTTTCATCCTTTTTTAGTGTGTATGCAACAATTAATATGCCTGCCTTATTTGAGGACGTGATAAAATGTACCCAAAATGACTTAGAACTGTCTGAGAAAAATGACTTAAAACCAACCACCTCATGGATAAATGTTTTTATATTATGAACCAATTTCAGCAAGTTTTCGAACTAATAATATCTCATGCTGTGTTTGTCATACAAGTACATTCATTAGTTCCATAGTTTTGGTGATGGTAAATTAAAGTTATCTTTTTTCAATGGTCATGTCTGCATATCTTTTGTTATGTGATTTAAGCAGAAGTAATACAAGAGGAAAAATCAAAATGGCATTTCATCCACCCCCTGGATGGCTTAAAATGTGTTATCCTAACAATGTCAAGCACATTGGTCTGTGATAGTGACCCTTTTTACTCAATCTTTCCTGTTTTAGAAGTAATGGTGAACTGTGTAAAAGAAAAGAAAAGGTATCTCCCAGTGAGAGGATTTGAGGATTGATGTGGATTGAATATATTTTTCAAAGTGTTATAAATTGTGTGTTTTCCGTATATGAAAATGATCACAAGAAACTAATTTTATAACATATTTTTAAAAAACCAACACTGTGCAACACTAAATTTATGAAGCTTCTACAGTTGAATTAGAGCAAAGTAAATACGCTCAGCTTATAAACCAAATCACTCCTATTCCTTCTCTCCAATTTTCTCACCTCTTTTTTAAAATGTAGTAACTAGAGTAAATCACTGTTTAATTGCCTTTAATACTTTAAAACTACTGGATTGTTAGGCCTTGTTTAACTATCTATGGAGAGCTATTTGCAAACTTGAGTTGTATAAATGTAATTTCTACTTGTGGCTTTGAGCTGTGGCAACCCAGAGGGAGCTAGGCAGACCATTTCAGACCACCAACTGGTAACTGATCAGATTCCTTGTAAAGTCAGATCTTTTAACCTGTTGATTATAGGTCTGATGGTGTAAATGTAATAATATTGTTCACCTCAATTTTCCTGGAGTAACAACAAGCAGTTGGTAGTAGCCTGCCTGCTTGGGGGCGGCCAGAGTTAACAATATTTCTGTTCTGATCTTTCTATTTTGGTGTCCTTAGACAGGTTTTTAAGAGAGTAGGGATTTAGGAAGGATGTGTGCTTTTAATTTTACTTACTTAGAACAAGTGGAATGAGAAAGGAGTTTTTGATAAATCAAAGATTGAAAATCATCCTATTGAAACTGAAAAGCCAGATTTTTGCTTTGGAGCTTTCTAAAGGTGCCTAACCTTGCAGTTATTAACCGTTTTCATGGATATTCAAAAGGGAGACTATCTTCTTGTAATAATTGTTCTTTTTCAAGTTTCTGCTTTGTGCTTTGACCTGGATTGCATTGTTGTTTATACAAAAAAATAAATAAATAGATACATAAAGCACAGGAGTTTCCTATATGTTATATATTTCTGTTTACCATTTTAAAATAAAAACAATTTTCCCAACAAGCAGCAGCGTTTTATTCTTGATCAAAAGTTTCTTTATTCACTGATGCTATGACGATTGAAAAATCAGAAATGTAAAAGACGTGTAAAAGGGACTGCATTTATCAATATTTTATGCATTATAGGTACTTGTTATTACTCTTACTCTATCTGTAAGGTGATATTCTAACTTTAGTTGAATCACTCTTTGGCTTGCATCTTTCACAGAGCTCACATTTTTTAAAGACATCCCCTTTTAGTATCTGGAATATCTCTTTAGCAAAGAAATTTGAACAACCCGTCATTTATTGTTTCATAAAATAAACTTTACTATGCCATAAATAAATGTTTTTCAAAAGGAGTCTGGTGAGAATGAGTTGCTCCCAAATTTTTGTGTATAGATCCTTGGAAGTACTGTGTCCAATCTGAAACTAACATGTTTACATTTATCTTACAGCTATTCCTTCCTTAAAACCTGTGACTCCTTTAAAAGGCTGTGGGTGACAAGATACGTTAACTATATTATCAGTGCTGATCAGTTAGATGTTTTTTTCATGTTTCTCTGGATTAGCTGGAGTTTCAATTCAAATGTGTGTCCTGTTATAATCATAGTTTGTATTGTACACTGACAGGTTCCTGTTGCTGTCTGTAATCCTAATTCATTTAAGAAAGATTACTGCTACAGAAAGTATAAGATTTCTCAAAAACTTTCCCCACACCTCGGTGGAGAAAAACATCTTTAAATAAATGTGAGACATTCTCATTTTTGAAATTTGGGTGGCACAAAAAGGAGGGGGGATAGTGGTTATTTTATGATTACTTATTAGAGGCTGTAATAATATAAAATAAAAGACTCCAGGAGGTACTCCCTTTCAAAAATGGAATACTTTCCTTCCTTCCTTGTATAGAATGACTGAGTGGGAGTCTCTTGAATTGTTCGTCTTCCTTTTATCTAATATTCTATTAATCTCCAAAAAGATCAGTTTGAGTCTGGGAAAGGGTTTTTAATCAACACTTCACAGAGCTTAAAGCTACCCTACCTAAAGCGTCAGCTTTGTGAAGGCGGTTTTAGATTTAAAGCATTGCAACTGTCATGCACTGTACCAAAAGTAAAGAATGTACACCAAGTGGAAGATGTTGAAAAGAGGGAAATAGCACAAAGTCGATTAACAGAGATTCGAGAATAGAAGTAGCCATCAAAGCATTCCAGCGTTTATCTTGCAAGCTATGTAGGGTTAAAAAAAAAAAAAGCAACAATGATAGTTTTAAACCTCACACTTAAGAGGGATGAATGTTGGTTTAATTGATTCATTTGGATCGATGTTTTTAAAGTTTCACACCGATCTTTCATGTAGTGATGTCTTTAGCAGTCAGTGGCCTGACACGAGACATCTCAGGTTTCATCCGTGGGTCTCCCCATGACATCTAAAATGATGCAGCAGCCCGTCCAGTGGTCACTTTGGAATTGGGAGACCCCAATGCCAAAGAGCACAATTAGATGGGAGAGTTCTTGTAAATTCTTAGCACAAAGATTCAGAGGAGCCATAACTGTAAGTGAGCCACAAAGGTTAAAGTCACCAAATACCAGATAGTTGGTTTTAATTGCTAGATAGGAGAAAGTCGTCCTGAAAGGTTGACCACTAAGTAGATCCTACACAGTGACCAGTGAATCTTGAATTCACTGGAATCTAAAAAGCTAGAAAATGGAAATTTGACTTAATCCATGAGGCCTGCCAGGCAACTTTTCCCAGTCCTTTGCCTTGAGATTTGTAAAAAACCTTTCACTATGTTCTTTGTATTGTTGGAGTTGAGTTCTGTTTGAAACAGACATGAAACATGTTTCTAGAAAGAAATCTAGAGGGGTCCTGCATCTTTCTCTCCAGATCATTCAGCTTTTTCTTCCTTGGATTATTACGTTGGGTAATATGGGAAGCTGTCATAGGTAAAATAATGTTGAACTGTACTTTGTGGCCAGCCTGCAATACCAATACAAAGAATCTGAAATGAAAAGACAACCACCACTCCAAGAATGATATGTCTCTTTTTAAAGTTTACAATTTGAATAATGAACTTGGATAGAAACTTGGCAGGAAAACAAACCATGGCACCATCACATCACCAACCATTTTCACTTTTCTGTCCAATTTCAGAGTGCATGTGTTTGTGAGTATTTCACTAGATCAGTGACAGCTGTCTTTCTCTTTCTTTTTTTAGGAAGTCCCCTCCCCACCATTCCCCCACCCCACGCCAAAAACAAAAAAAAATGTAAATTCAGAACATGAATGCCATGGTGTGCTGTGTAGTTTTGGGAGTGCAAATTGTTCCCTCTATAACAATCTATTTTCATTCCAAGACCAGAGAAAAACTTCACCCAAAAAATGTGTAAAGTACTGAATCTGCATTACTGCTGAAAATCCTTGTCTGTTGAATGTGAGATTTTACACAAATCTTTCATTTCAGAAGAGACTTTTTAAACCAAAAGAAGAGGAACAGATCTTTTAAGCATAGGTGTGAAAGGTCTCATTTTCAATGGAATTGCCAACTTGTTCAGTAGAATTGACCTTACTTTTTAAACTATGTAGTGTGTGTTGAGTGACATCTTCATAAGGTAACAAACTTTTGTTTTTTAAATCTTACCGTAGGGAAGCCTCTTGTTAGCTTTCCTGGAGCTAGGCCCTTTTAGGGATAGTAATTTTTTTATTGTCCTCAGGAAAATGAACCTGTGTACACCAACCTTTTCCCTCTGAAAGGCTAAATGGAGCTAAAATTAATCTTTTAGTTTTGTGTTCCAATGGGAAGAGAGAGACTTGGTATGAAAGATTTTCTTCTCTCAGTCCAATGGTGTAACTCACTTCTGTAAGGTTTTGCCCTACAGTTTCAACAATTACATGTTTTAATCCAGCTAAGATCTGGCCAACACTGTGAAATACAAGAGAGAAGGTTTTGCTGACTTTTGAATTAAAATATTAAATTTTAGCATTATCAATTTTTAATTACTTGAATTTAATTACCGAGTGAAGATTGTTTCTAGTAGATGAGGATCTGAATTTAATATTTTTCATCCTTTTTTAGTGTGTATGCAACAATTAATATGCCTGCCTTATTTGAGGACGTGATAAAATGTACCCAAAATGACTTAGAACTGTCTGAGAAAAATGACTTAAAACCAACCACCTCATGGATAAATGTTTTTATATTATGAACCAATTTCAGCAAGTTTTCGAACTAATAATATCTCATGCTGTGTTTGTCATACAAGTACATTCATTAGTTCCATAGTTTTGGTGATGGTAAATTAAAGTTATCTTTTTTCAATGGTCATGTCTGCATATCTTTTGTTATGTGATTTAAGCAGAAGTAATACAAGAGGAAAAATCAAAATGGCATTTCATCCACCCCCTGGATGGCTTAAAATGTGTTATCCTAACAATGTCAAGCACATTGGTCTGTGATAGTGACCCTTTTTACTCAATCTTTCCTGTTTTAGAAGTAATGGTGAACTGTGTAAAAGAAAAGAAAAGGTATCTCCCAGTGAGAGGATTTGAGGATTGATGTGGATTGAATATATTTTTCAAAGTGTTATAAATTGTGTGTTTTCCGTATATGAAAATGATCACAAGAAACTAATTTTATAACATATTTTTAAAAAACCAACACTGTGCAACACTAAATTTATGAAGCTTCTACAGTTGAATTAGAGCAAAGTAAATACGCTCAGCTTATAAACCAAATCACTCCTATTCCTTCTCTCCAATTTTCTCACCTCTTTTTTAAAATGTAGTAACTAGAGTAAATCACTG